ACAGGGTAAATAGGATTTGCCAATGTGGAAAAACGAATGTCCAGGCTGCTCTGACTCCTTCTCCAAACCAGCCTGGGAAAAGTCAGGCATGTGTATTAGCAAATTGTGGGATACACTATTGCTCTCAGTAAAGCCTGTAAAGCTGCCACAATATGTTCCTGCAGGATCACTGCTTTGAAGTAGCACAATCGTGTTTGGCATTGAGGTTCCCAAAGTGATGCTGGAATAACCAAAGGAGTAAATCTGTAGCCCGTGCTGCCCACAGAGAAAGATAATGGCATTAAAAGCTGGTACTTCAGGCACCAAAATCAGTGTACACGACTGCATGGTATTACAATCAAAGAAGAAAAGGGCCAGTGGAATGCTTTCACATGTTGGTGACCTGAGGTTAGCAGACGTTGCCATTGCTAATCTTGCTGCTTCTAAATTGCCCTCTCTACCCAGCTGGGCTTTCTGCAGCAAAGGTCTGCAGCACTGATGGTGGGAAGGCCAACTTGCCCTCTCCCTTCTTCCACACACAGTCCCAAGTGACAGCAGGACTGCTGCAATAAGCAGCAGTCAGGCAGAAGACCTCTGAGCAAATCAGTAATTATCAGGATCTCAAAGACACTTTTCTTCCCTTAACTTAAACTTTTAGAAACAGGGATATTTGATTAATGAAAGGACTTCTGATTTTATACCACACATTAGATATATATATATAATATTTTCATCTGACTTGGGTAAACACCTGCAAGCACAAGGAAAGTTATTCCACTGAATAGAAAAGCACTCCTCGAACCTAAAATTATTTTGGTTGAAGCATCAAGTTAAGCATCATGATGTATTTGATGGTCAAACACAAATTAAATAAATAAACATTCTTTTATTTTTACTTTTCCTATTTTTTTAGGAGCTGTGACCATTTGTTTCCAGATGCTCTAACCAGTATCTGATATTTCTGGCAGAGGGGAAGGTGTTAAAAAATCATGTCTCTTAACAGGAAAGTTTGATGTTTCAAGCTGGAAAGAGAACTCATTTCCTGAAAATCACATTCAGTAGTATCTTTGCTTGACAAGAAATATTTTTTGTGTAAATGGAACACAAAATACAGTTTTTCTCAATCACACTTTTAAATAAACGGGGGATGTGGTTTGCTTCCTTCACCTGATCTTTATGAGTTAGATCCTCCATAGTTCCAAAAGGTACGAATAGTTTCTTGCAAGTAGAAAAGAGAAACAGAAACAAGACTTACAAAATATTCTGAATACTCAGGTCTCTGCACTCTCTTTCCCTCTGTCTCCAGACCTAAAAATGCTGTGAAGTGGAGGCAAATTGCCAAGAGCCTCATACCCAGTGCTGAACTGGCATAAAGTCAAAGGTTGCTAGTTGCATTTGGATGCCAGAACATTAGCATGGCTTTCACTACTGGCTCTTACACATCCTTTTTCAAAGTTAGATGATTCACAGTTTTTGCCTCTTCTATAAGCTTTCATTGCTTGCTCTTCCAGGTTTTCCTTGAGTGCTAATCTTGCTGCTGGTAAGAAAGCATCTTGCGTATCAAAAGTTCTCCGCTTCAGCAGTAGCTGTTGCTGGTGATCCCTCTTCTGCAACGGGAAGCATATGCATCAAGTGCTACATGCCCTGGATATGTCTGCAGTGTCAGTTCAGCACAGTTTAAGCCTGCTCTTTGGTCCAGATTTGCCAGTCAGCCACACTGCAGCTCCCAAAGTCCCCCTGAGAGACTACCTCAGCCCAAGTTCTGCAGACGAATTCAGAGGGGGCAGCCTGCCCTTTCCCAGAGCCCCAAAATATGTCCAAATGTACACTCAGAAATGGAACATGTTAAGTTTGAGTGCAACACTACCCTGTCAGTGATATCCCAAGCCTGACCCTTGTTAACACCGTATGAAAGACCTCTGCGATTAACCACCACAATTTGAAAAGTCAAAGGCTGCATAAGGAGGGATCTGCCCCATATCCCTGATCTTTACTCCACAACTAATGCCTAACCTCAGAAGGTAACACAATGGAGCAGTAGGTTTTACCCAAAACTTACAAGCATATTTTTGGGAGTCTTTTATTCATCAGGTACTCAGATAGACACCAATACACAACTAGTAAATCACAAGCTTTATTTAAGCTCAGAAATGTTCCCACTGAACTCAGTGGGAGTATTCATGTGTTAAACGCTCCAGGATCAACCACCTGAGGCTATGAGCTCACAGCTCTGCTTAAAGTCCCTTGCTGTTATAAACATGCATTTGCATCGAAGCATCTGATGAAATGGCAGATTGACATCCCTACTGCATTTGGTATTACAGCGCTTTAAACCAAAGCTCTATTCTGTAGGAAGAGACTGTAATCATAGAAAAACTCTGTGTAACATTATTTCTTCCCTACAGTCATAGAATCATTTGGGGTGGAAGGGACCTTAGAGCTCATCCAGTTCCAACCCCCGTCACAGGCAGGGACACCTTCTACTAGACCAGGTTGCTCAAAGCCCCGTTCAGCCTGGTCTTGTGTGGATGATTGTGGATGTTCGTGGATGTTTGAGTGGCTGGCAGGAAGGAACCAATGCAAGTGAGCAGATGCCTTCTTGCACCAAGGCAGTTAACTCCAGCATAGATGGAAAATAACCGTAGCCTCTCTTCTCCTGTGCAATTCTCAGTATCACAGTGAAAGGAACACACACTATAATTAATCATTTACATATTTATAACCCAGTCCTCTTGACCTTTGTTAGCCAAAACACCTGAGTAAACTAATCCGTATGCTTAAATTTCTTGTAACAGTTGGGAATGTGGCAAATGCTTAAAAAAAAAACCAAAAACCAAGAATGCTTTTTAAAGCAGGAGGAAGCAGGAATATAAAAATGGTCAGATGGAGTTTAACAATGAAAAAGTGATAACCACTGAAAACAGAAAAAAAAAAACAGAATGTAAAAAGCTATTTAGCTCTTTTGCTTGTGCAGTTCCACACTTCACTTTTGCAATGATAACAAGCTTTTTGCTATGTGTCTAAGCAACTGTTTCCTCAATTTTTGCCAAAACAAATAGCTGACAAGGCAAAAAATGTTGATCAGTAATTTTGAGGATCATAGCTAAATCGTTGCACTGGTTTCAAGTTAATGGTCATAAAAATTTTTACTACCTTTGTAACAATACTTTGGACAGAACAAAGTATTTTGACTATTTCCAGCTCTCAGGGTGGCAAGCACATCCTGAAGGAATATTTAGAAAATATACGTACCCTTTTTAACAACTACTTTTTTAGCTTCATCCACCTACCAAAATGGATGAAATATGAAAGAAAACTTTATGCCCTTGAACAAGGACAGGATTCCTTTTCTGAGTATGTCTCAGTGAAGCTCCTACAGCTTGCACCTAATGTTTTGTCCCTTGAGTTGAGGCAGTCGGGGATGCTTGATAGTGCATAATGAATATCTAGAAGCCTATTTGTGTCAGACTAGCAAGGGAAGGTTGTATGAAGAAGCAAAGCTATTAGGAGGAATAATACACCTCTTGCTCTCAGGAACTCAATCATCTGTTTGTGCCAGTGAAGAAATCCCTGCCTACCCTTAACATTCTGCTTTAGAGGCCAAAAGTAAATCAGAATTCACAAGCACCATGGATTCCTTTAGCTCTACCTAATATCTGTAGTGGTTAGATCAAAGCTTTTAACTGAGTAAATCAATCTACGCTTCTGGTTTTGTGTCAAATATGCTTGATTGTGCACACCCTGCTGATAAAAAAACTGTGCTTAATCAGCATAAAAGCATGTTTTGTGTGCATGAGCACAGCGTGTCATTGTAAACAGATTGGATGGTTTTAGCTGGGTGAAATGGCTGTTGTTCAGATCACCAGCACTTTGGAAGGTTGTTTTTGTGTGGACACATTGGGTACACATGAAGCACTAGAAGGCAATGCCTGTTGGATGACGTTGTATCCATATAGCTGCAGACGGATTCAGAAAATTAATTGTCATGGAGGTTGTAAATGGGAATAGAAGGATGTTTGTTATTTGACTCTGAGAAGTGTATAATACAAACAATGGACTTGGGAGCTTGCTCAACAAAAAAAAGGGTATTACCACAAGTTCCTAAGTACAGACACAATGTTGATAAGTCCCTCCCTGAAATTTTCATTACAGTAATTTATTATTGAAGACAAATAGCAGTTAGCAAACCAAACAAAAACAGCCAGTCCCAACCCCTAACATTTTAAATAACAAAGATTATTTTTCTCTTTCTAAAATGTTTTTTTCCTGTTCTCTGTTGTGGACTCTCTATTTCCTTTGTTCTTCATGCCCAGGACTCACAAAATAAAGAGGATTTTAATTTCTGAAGTGAAATAATGTAGGCATTAAGCTAATTTACAAACAAACTTTACAAACAAGCTTGGTGCTCTAGAACACAAGGGTTGTGTTCTTCACTTACAGGAAAGAAGGAAAAACTCCGGTTTTACATAAGTATTACTTGGGTATGTCCTTAAATAGAAGGTAAGCAATCTAATCTAAAGCACTACAAAACCCTTTTCTTTGACTTTAATTGGCTGGTAGAGGTGCAACTACAGTCTAGGTGAGCCTTTGTTTGAGAAGCAGGTAAAGTCAAAGTTTGAGTTAAGACTCTTAACCAACCTGAGTCTCAGTGCTGTGCTCCAATGGGCCCTGCAATGCGGATCTACTGCTTTGATATTGCAGCAAATACCTTAAGTTCTCATGCCTCAAGTTGCCTACTGGGTATTTTGGGAGAACATCCGGCATAAGTGTGTCAATAGGAATTTTGCCACTAACTTAATTTATAGCTTGGATTTCACCCACAGTTTGTTGAATCACTGTTTTTTACTGAGTGTTCCAAACTATACTGTACTAGATAACCTTCATACTCTATTTTCAGCACTATTGTTTTTACTGAATCAAACATCTCTGTTGATCTGCCCAAATGGGCCTAAAGTAAAAATTGGGGTGGGGGAAGACAAGGTTTTTAAAGTTTGGAAGAAAGCTTTGGATGTCTTCTCTAGGCATGCTATAACAATTGCAAAAATTATATGAACTGGACAGAAGACCATCATTTCAGGAAGATGAGAACTATCACTGGGAGACCTTAGACTTGATGTGCTGAAAGAGTGAAATGATATAGCGAAACAATGGAGGAGTTTCATGAAGGTAAATCTTAACCTTACATATTCAAATATATCTTCCTTTTAAATGCATTTCTTCACAGAGGAAACGGATTTGCCTTAATGAGCCTTGGGAAAAGTGACTTTTGTGTTTTCCAGTTAAAGTAAATAGTCATCCAGTTTGCTAGTTGTACCAATGGTTTCTGCTGCCCAAAAAGGATGGCAGTTCCTTCTCTCTTTTTGTGGAGGAAAGACAGAGGGAATACATTCTTTAGAAGCATACATATTAGTATGTTATAGCACAAATTAGGAGACAAGCCTATTTCAGGCACACCAGTGGCTTGTAAAATCATTGCTCCAAGCCACTTTTATTAGAAAAGAGAAACTTACTATCCTCCTTCGCCCACATTCTCTGTTTCTAATTGCATCTATTTCCCAATCTTTTATTAGTATTTCATTTTGCAAAGCAAGCATAAACCAGCTCCATTTTGCATTCCCTTTGTTAAGGTGCAAATGATTTAGCAATTGAAACCATGTATGACCCGTTACATAACTGCATATGCTTCCTATTTTATCAGTGTTCCAAATGACTAATTGTATAAACGTGCAACTTAAAAGCCTACTGATATGAAAACAGGATAAAGAACACCGTTTTTGACACGCCACTACCCTCTGGTCGAATATATCATATTCAGTACTGTAGTTCTTGTCTGCAATGACACTCGACCTAGTTGGCTGGTTCATCTTTGTGCCGAGTTGTAAGATTTCTGCAGTACTGTAGAAGTAACACAGAGAAAGAAAAAAAGGAATGTATCTATTTTCCTTGCTTGTATTCCTTTGCATTTTCTTGGATAGATGAGATCAGGACTAAAGTGTTTCCTCTACTCTCTCTCTATGTAACCCTGATAAAATAAAACATCTTTTTGTAGACAGCCATGCAGGATTTCTTATCCCCTAATATGGCTAATATTCTGAACAGGTGAGCACATGTCCTTTGACACACACAAAAATTTAAGATTGGTCAACAACTACTGATAATCTGCAGAGACACAGCAATATGCTTTAAAAGGAAAAGGACATATATACTGGGGAAAAAAAACCCAGTAATTTTATGAAGGTTCCTTCTCCAATTTGTAAACTTTGTAACTTACTGTTATGAAAAGTATCACTTATAGCCTTAGTTTTATTTTTATCACTTGTCCAAGCCCTAACTCACTTCAAGAATGTAAATAAATACATGACATGCCTACTATTCCAGGAAGGAAAGAGAATATTGGTGCTTTCTCATGTTCTTCCATTTTTCACAACCTCTAGAATACTAAAAGTGTGCAAATACAAAGGGTATTTTGAATGAAAGAAACTATCTATTCTCCCTGCCATCAGAACCACATGTATTGGTGTCCAGACTTGTACATTATTTGTAGTAGTAATGATGATTACTATAATTTTTGCAGATGCAGCCCTACAATTTAAAGTTCTCACTAGTGAGTAATAAATTCAACTCAGAGACAAAAAATCTAACTTAAATGAGCAGAATGTGTACTCTGAACACTTAAATTCCAAAAAAAAAGTATGAACTCATTGCAACCTCTGTAAAGCCTCATTCTACAAAGTTAATTGATATCAATACCAGTATTTTGCAACATAATCACAGGTGCAACTTTTAGAGTCCTCTGGAACTAAAATGCAGGCTCCTGTGACTTTTAAAAATGGAACAGGTATTCTAACTTAAAACCCTGAATACCCTGAAATACTTTATTTTCTCTGCAGTGTTTCTTCCTATCAGCTTTCTGTTTCATCTGATACAGAAAAAGCCCTTGTCAAAATGCTGTCTGTACTTTGATAAGTTACTAAGCGAATTAAAAGCATATTACAACATTAAGCCAGAATTGGGGGGGGGGGGGGTGTACTTCTGTTTACAACTTTAACTACTACATACTTTCATACCATATTCAGCTTTCAGTCTTATTTTTGTACTGAAAATGAAACAGTATCTTCAGTTATAAAGAGAAATTGAGAAATAGACAACTGCAGTTTCTAGCATGAAGAAGATCTGGAAGCACTCAAAATGTTAAATAAACATCTTTCCTAGTAGACTGACTTTAGCTCCAGCCTTTCACTCATCTTTTATAGTGTGTTAACATTTCCTTCTCTGCCCATAAGCAAACCCAACTGTTGAAGCAAACCCTTATGCTCTTGGTCTTGCTTCCCTCCCACAGCCCCTTTAAAATTTTCCCTTTCCACTTTGAAACACCTCTATCACACCAGACCAGGTTTGTCAGATTATCTGTTTGACACTTTCTCTAACAAAACAGATTGACTCTTTGCACTGTGATCTCCTGGGAGACAAAGTATGTTGCAAAACTGCCAACAGAAGTTACTGGAATGATCTTTTGAGGGCAGCTATGTGTATGCACTTAATTTTGCAGACTGGCACAAATATATCATTCCAAGTCTGTGATTAAGTTCCAGCCACCATCAAAGCTTTTGGTACATAATTCAAAATACAAGCATGGAGATGTTTCATAGTTCTAGTATAAACCCTGATTATCTATTAACTTAGTGATAGCTACTTCTTTTACATCATAGTGATAAGTTCCATAGACTTTACAGTATCCCTTATAAAGACAAACTATAAACAATTAAAGTTTAGGTGTATTATCTAAGCAAATACTTTGAAAATATCTTTTCAAGGGCCAGAGAAGATGCTTACCAGAGAAATTATAGGAGGATGAAACAGAAAGTATGAGTCTGGAATAAAAAACTTAAGAGGAAGAAAGTGAGCAGGTTTTACTGTCCACCAGTGTTACTATTTCTCTGTGCTCAAGATAAAGAACTGCGCCAATGATGATGAATCCATTAATATATGGCATCATCCTTGTTCTTTCTTCCCAAGACATTTTGTCTCTGTTGCGTGTTGGTTGTCTTCATCCCAATGCATTAGTTTTTATGACAAGACCTGCATTACTGTTTTTACCTAGCAGAACAGCAGGACTTGGTAAAGATCACAGCAGATGCTGGTTGCAATATCACCCCTAGTACCAGCTGTTTCTGTATTTCCTCACAGGTGTTTGTCTTCCACATGGCTGACGGCTGAATTCTGTTCAAAAAGCATGACTAAGGCTGCAATAGGTACAAAGCCAAGTTTCCCCTTGGATTCTCCCTCCTGCTGTGCTTCATGTGGCTGGCAGAGTTCTGCCATTGTGGAACAGAGATTGCTGGAAATAAATTCTTCTTAAGCAGACAGGCTTTTGTTCAGTTTTGACTCCAGGCTCCCAGCCCAAAGTCTTGAGCAATCTGCACTGGGAAAGCTCTGTGCATCCGTGGTAAGGCTCTTTTTTAGAGGCTTCTAATCTGAGGAATTTGTGGCAAAGAGAACCATTTTCTGAAAGGCTGCGTTCTGGGCAGATCTTCATTATCAGCCTTGTCCTAGCATATTCTCTGAGATTTCCATCATCTTAGGCTTTGGATTTAGATGCAGATAAGCTCATTTTTAGGTTTCCATACCTGCATTTATGTGAACTAGTTGCAGAACAAATCAGGGAGGCATACAGTATTCTTGTACCTCTTGCCTATTAATTAATTCTTCACATTTTTCTATACAAGTGGGTGAAAGAAATGCTGTGTGCACACATTTTTCTCTTTCTGAAAAAGAAACACAAGATTCAACAGCTTATTTTCTGTCACAGCCACAACTTCATTCATCATGTGAAATCTCAGGTTGCTCTGTGCTCTAAAATAGTCAGCACGTTACTCATCTTCTTGCGAGCGAATAATTTTGTGGGGTTTCCTGCTCCTTTCCTATTTCTCTTGTTATTACTTCCAGATGACAGCGTCTGTAATGTTGTTGTACAACTCTACAAACCGAGGCACTTTTTAGAACCAAGATTTTTTGGACACACTCATATCAGCATGATGTTTGTGAAACATTTTATGTAACTGTCCAAAGAGCGTCCCTCTCTCATTTTCTTAGTGACAATGGTAGACAACCCTTCAGTCTGTCAGCAGTTAGAAGCCATCATCTTTCACCCAAATTTTGAGCATTTCTAGCCAGTCTTCACCTGCCAGCTATATTTGTTGAATGCTTGGTGAATCATATAAAAATTGTATAAGCCTGAATTCATCTGCAATATGCACTTTACAGACCCTTCACTTCTTTTACAGCTAAAAGGAGAAGAATGACTGTAAAGAGTTGCCATTTTTCTTCATCTGATTGTAAGTCCTAAATGCACATTCATGCGGCTGTATCCTATTCTACAGAATGGCAAGGCAATTTTACAATTGCTGTGAGCTCCTAGGTAGCAGGTTCTGCTGTTCTTATTTTCAATCACACCTAAGGTGTTTGATTTTTCCCTTAATCTGCTTTTCCTATTCTCATTCCACCTCAAGCAATTCACTTAATTCTCTTTCCTGTGTTATCTACACATGACACTACTACGTGGGTTTTTTTTCCTGGATTTATTTAATGGATGATCTTGTCCTAGATTTCACCTGAGACAAATTGCCATATCCAGGCTTGGACTCCTATTTTTAAACACCTTGACAATATATTGCTTTTCTAGATATGTCCATTTTCTGAAAGCAAGCCTGAAGGTACCGGTACGTCAAACATCTTAAAAGCAACAGAGCATACACAACAAATGAGAAAAGCCACAAAACAAAATCCCAGCTGATTCAAAGCATATCTGATTATTTTTCTTTCCAAGATACTAATAACACTGCTGCTGTATTGGCTATATCCAAGATGAAATGTAGAAACTCGCATTGGATTGGAATATTGAAGATACCCAAGATACTGATGTTTGTCTGATATATTTTAATACTCCGTATCTCGTGTTCTTTTATCCAGGATTAAGAGAGATGAGGTTTGAACAAGCATACTACACTTGGGTAGTAACATAGTGTACCAGATTGGTATACTTATTCACTCACATGAAATTCTGTATTGCATCCCTCAAGGAAATATTAAGAGTAGCATATTTATTAGAGAGACAGTCATCCTAAAAGCTTTATTTGTTCAATTGACGGCTGCTTAAACACTTATAACGTATAATAATTTATAATTAATGATTAAACACTTCTGTCATGCTGTCATGCTGGTTACAGCATGACAGAAGGTAACAGACCAACGTATTCATTTCCCACTTCCTAGCCATATACTGAGCACGAACAGCTAGGATTACTATGAATGGGGAAGAACCAGTTAGGTATGTAACAGAAAAGAAAAATACAAAGAATTATTTTTTGCATAAAGGTGCTCTTAGCCCTTTAATACCTGTTCATTCCTTATGAAGCCACAATATTTTTTAAAGTGCTTTAACTGAAACAGTTTCTGGAGAAAGAATTATATCTTTTATTAGACTGACTACATACAGTTGTAAAGAGTCAGCTATTTTTATTAGTTGCTGTCATGGTTTAACCCCAGCCAGTAACTAAGCCCACACAGCCATTTGCTCACTTCCCCCCATCCTCCCCAGAAGGATGGGGGAGAGAACTGGAAGAGTGTAAGTGAGAAAACTCATGGGTTGAGATAAAGGCAGTTTAAAGGGTAAAGCAAAAGCCGTGCACGCAAGCAAAGCAAAACAAGGAATTCATTCACCACTTCCCATGGGCAGGCCGGTGTTCAGCCATCTCCAGGACAGCACAGCTCCATCACACATAATGGTTACTTGGAAAAACAAACGCCATCAATCCCAATGTCCCACCATTCCTCTTCTTCCCCAGCTTCATATGCTGCTCATGGCACCATATGGTGTGGGATACCCCTTTGGTCAGTTGGGGTCAGCTGTCCTGGCTGTGTCTCCCCTAACATCTTGTGCACCCCCAGCCTGCTTGCTGGTGGGGTGAGGAGCAGAACAGGCCTTGGCTCTGTGTAAGCACTGCTCAGCAGTAACAAAGACATATTATCAACAGTTTCCCGAACAAATCCAAGACATTGTCCCCTACTAGCTACTGTGAGGAGAATTAACTCCACCCTACCCAAAACCAGCCCAAATGTTTCACAGCATATTGTAAGTACCTTAAATCTGAGTGGATGAAGGTGCACATATGGAAGTGTCTTTCTTCATTAGGTGTTAAGAGTGTTATCACAACTCAGCCACAACTGGGAGAAAAAAACAAACAAAACAAACCCAAACATAAGGTGAGCCAGTGGGAGGAGTGCTGTGGGAAGGATGCCTGGATTCTTCAGATTCTTCACTTAATATTTGTCCAGGGCATATTTCAGGGATCCTACCTACTTCAGTGCATCCAACCTTCCATTGTCTGCCTCTGAGGTTTTTCAGCCCTTCCCCAGGTCTCTCCCCTTCACACAGTCCACTGAAGTCCACGTTCAGCCAGAGAACAAACAGCCTTTCATACATCCTGACCCCCCTAAGTCCTAAAGAAATCAATTTATCAAGGGCAGTCGCTCCTGCCTCACCCCAGCACTACATGCTGTGCAACAAGGCTGGTGCAGGTGCCTGCCCCTGGAGAGGACTGGGAGCTGTGAATGTTGATCAGAGATTAACTCCTGCCCACTGCTGAGAGCAGGCCATGTTTGCCACAGATGTCATTTCCCATGCACCAACTTTTCTTCATTTCTCATGGAACAGCTTTTGCAGCTCCCTGCTCAGGATACAGGTGCTTGTAAGCCTCACTGCTTGAGATCTCAGTATGTTACATATAAGGAGTCCTTGTGCCTAAAGTGACACGTGGCTTTCACTGCCTGACCAATGCATAAGCCTTGGGTGTTGTAATACATTCCATTGAATTACACCTACATTATGCATGGCTGAGACTGTAACTTGTTTTATTTCTTGTTTTTAGCTTTCCAATATCCATTTATCACTGAATTGAGAGAGCAAATCTGAAAGCAAGAAAAGGGGAGAAAAGCCAGGATATACTTTGAACAAAAACTAGGAAGAGCAAAGTTGTGACCAAGAGCTCCCTCTTGTGTGCCACAGGAAGAGCAAAAGGTAGCAAAGAAGGAAAAAGAGGAAAGAGGAAAGAGGAAAAGGGAAAGGGAAAGGAAAAGGAAAAGGAAAAGGAAAAGGAAAAGGAAAAGGAAAAGGAAAAGGAAAAGGAAAAGGAAGGAAGAGAGAAGAGGAAGGAGAAGGGGAAAGGGAACGAAAAGGGGAGGGGGAAGGAAAGGGAGAAAGGGAAGGGAGAAGAGGAAGGGGGAAGAGGAAAGGGAAGGGGAAGGGAGGGGAGCGAAGGGGAGGCGAGGGAAGGGAAGGTGAAGGGGAAAAGACCCCACAGAACTGACATTTTGAAACAAACGGTTATCCATTTCAAATTCTTACTTAAAAATATAGTTTTTAATAAAGTTGAAAATCAAAGTACAACGTTTCCATGCATACAGGTGGACAAATCCTTCTTGTCAGTAAAAGCTGGGTGTCTGCAGGAATTCATGTGGGAACATGAACAGACAGTACAGAGGTCAGAACTTTTCTAATAATCTCCCTTCTTGTGATTCCATGAAGGCCAGCTCCTTGTACTGGCAGCAGCTCTCAACCTATTCCTCTGTGAATTTGTAAATGCCGAAATGCAGTAAATGCTTTATTTTGGGAGCAGCTAAATTTGTTTTTCATCTAAAACATTTATTTAAATGCACTGTTAACTTTGGGTGTCCTGTCTGGATGTGTTTGGGAATTTATGTAATCAATTGTCACAAGCACAGAAAGTAGTTCCTTGAATTTTTAGACACAAATAATCTCATTTCTTCTTCACTGCTGTTTTGAGAACAGAGGTTAGAAAACCACTGAACCTTAAAGGATAAATTCAAGCAGTTTTAAGGTCTGGTGATTTTTTCCTTCACAGCATGACTTTGCACAAATCACACTGAACTGGGATGAAACTGTTAGTGGTTAGTATACTTGAATGCTCTTCAAGTGTTCTGCAGGTGCCAAAGTTGTTCAGGGCTGCTTCTTCATGTACGAAGGACAATGCAAATTGAGATTAATTTGTCTTATAATGTGACTGGCTTATTTTAATCTATTAAACTGAGCACTGGAACAAAAAGTAAGCAGGAATTAATATCTGGACATCAAGGTCTATTATTTATGTAAAATCTGTCAAAGCAAGCCTAAAGCAAAGACTTTCAAAGCTGAGGTACTTGAAATGGTGAAGCTTGACCATGTTGGGTGAGTCTGAGTAACAAGATGAAGCAATGCATGCTATCCATGTAGGCTTTTTCTCAAGAAAGAACTGTGCTGAAACTGAGTCTTAACCCTAATTAAATAGATTGTCCAGTAGGAAAGAAAAACTCTTCATATGACTTCCTCTAAAATATATATATTGCATTTATTTTAGGTTTAACATTTAGATATTATTTGTGCAGTAAGACAACAAAGACAAGATGTGAAATTTTATTATTTCACAAACAGGATAGTCACACATGGAGACAGAACAATAGAAACTGGGAAGAATTTGGTAACAGTAACAGCAGCACCAGCAACCTGGAAAACCAGCAACCTAATTTTTTTATTCCTTGTAAAGATTACTAATCATTAACTGGCTAACTCATGAAAAATGATAATGAAATCAACAAGTACAAAGACTCAGATCCTTAGTATTACAAATTAATACAGGGTTTCATATATGATTTGTGGAATTGGACATCACCATGATTGGCATGTTTAGGAAATGAGCAAATCAAGCCAGTTTCAAGCTTTAAAAGAAGTACTGTTGCTCATAAACAGTTCAGGTAGCTAATAGTTCTTAAATCATTATCACTAAATATACAAAACAATTAAGTCCTTAAGAAATATATCCCAGATGAACTGCGAGCACACACCATTGTGGAGCTGATGCCACATAGTCAGGGATGATGGCTGCGCTACTTGGTGGTCTTTAGTCACCAAAGCCAACACGTTTGGGCTTGAGAACTCCTTGGAGGCAGTTTGCCTTCTTTCTTCTTCATTCAGTTGATATTTTATATGCTGTGCCCTTGATTCAAAAGAAAAGGAAGTGATCACATCTACTTTTGATTACTTATTTTGGAGATCAGGAAAAGTTCTGTGTTTTGCTTATTCTGGAGGTGCCATCAGACACGTTTCTTGCCTGTTCTGTGGGATTGCCTTGGTTTTATAATGCCTCTTTCCCCTTCCATTTTATTTGGCTGGTTATTTGGTGTCAGATAACCCATTGTCATTTCTCAGGTAAGCTTAATTTTGCCTTTTTAGTGAGGCTTTAAGAAAATAGCTGGAAAGAGTAAACTAGGAAAAAACTTAAATTGCACAGGATCACTTAAGCTGCAATGAAGAATCATGGAGTGAATCTTCCTGAAATGCAGTTCTTGTCACATGAAGGAGAAGGTGATTTGGAACACCCTGCACAGGTATACAAGTCCTACAAGCCTGTAGTCACTGGTTTAAGCAAAATTTCTGAAGCTGCCTCCTCTGGCACAGATCTATAATCTGCTTTTGAGCAACCTCAACTATTAGCCAGAACTTAACTACTATCTGAAATAAACCCAGTGTTTGAATGAAAACAGCAGAGGTCTGAGGGTTAACTGTAAGCGGGTAATGTGGAGTGGTTACTTGGTAAAGCATCTGCCCTCTCACTTTAATCCACACCTGCAAATCTAGCAGAGCCTTTAATGGATGAGTTCTGGGTGCCTCTTTTCTGTACAATTTACAGCCCTCAGGTGCCCAGGGTCCTTGTGCAGTGCTGTGAATCAAATTCACAGGTTCCCCAAGCCGACTCAGGCTGAGGAAGCCACATTCCTGTGTGGTGCTGCTTTCGGCACTTCACGTGCAGTCAGACAGTTTTCCAGGGGAATCAAATGGGAGGCCAGGCCTACCACTTGACATGTTCATTCTCCTGCCTAGGAGGCTGGAGCCAAGTTTTCTTCCTCCTACTCTGCCTGATTTACCACGGAACTTAAACTGAATACAGGGATGGAAGTTACCTTTGTTTCCTCTTTAGAATCTGCTCTGCTTTGTAAAGGTAACTGAGTATTTACTGGAGGAGAATTTAAAGCCGACATTCCCGCAGTCAGTACGAGCACGATGATGAGTTTTGATCTCTGGAGCAACGAATCTTTCACGACCTGTGAAGCAGAACCCAGCGCAGAGAGCACTGCGGGTACCTCTCGCTTGTGCTCGCCTTGCTCCAGCTCCTGATCCCGCCTCTCGGGACTAAAGACTCGGCTACTTACACCCAACGGACACCCTCCCGCCAGCGGGGGGCGCGCCACGACGGTCCCGCGCACCATGTCCGCAACCCCTCCCGCGGGGTGGAGAGGGGGGGTTCACCCGGAAACTGTCCCGGAGCGCGAGGGGTTCTGGGTGCAGCGCCTGCCCGCTCGGCCGTTCCGCCACGCCGCAGCCGCCTCCTGCCGCCGGGCCTCACTCTGTCCCGGCTCGCTCCGCGTTCCCCCCTCGCCTCTCCCCGCGTCTGATGATGCTGCTGTGGGGCTCCCGGGCCTCGGGGCCGTGGGCCCGCCTGCCGCTGTTGTTCCTGTTAGCGCTTGCTGCCTGCGTGGCGTGGGCCTCCGAGATCACGTTCGAGCTGCCCGACAACGCCAAGCAGTGCTTCTACGAGGAGATCGCCCAGGGCACCAAGTGCACCCTCGAGTTCCAGGTAGCTGGGCGGCCGGGGCCGACATCCCCGGGAAGCGCCGCCCCCGGTCGAGCTGGTGGGGCTGGGCCCAGCCCGGGGCTCTTCGGCTTCCTCGTTCGTGCGGTGCTCGGGTGCTCTGTAGCGGGGAGAAGCGCGTGCGCGGGGACAGCAGCTGAAGCCGGCGCAGCAAACGCTGCCCGTTGCCGTGTGCACCGCGGCGGGATGAGAGCAGAGAGCGGGCCCTCAAAACCTGCCGGTCTCGCACCCTGAACGCGGACCTTCGGGGTCCCTTGTGACCAGCGTGCCGCGTACCTAAACCTACCTGCCCAAAAGCGTGCCTCCAAAGTCACAGAGCCATAGAATGGTTTGGGTTGGAAAGGACCTTAAAGTTCATCCAGTTCCAACCCCCTACCACGGGCAGGGACACCTTCCACTAGACCAGGTTGCTCAAATCCCCGTCCATCCTGGCCTTGAACACTGCCAGGGATGGGGCAGCCACAGCTTCTCTGGGCAATCTCTGCCAGTGCTTCACCACCCTCACAGGGAAGAATTTCTTCCTAATGCCTCATCGACATCTCTCTCTTATTTTAAAGCCATGGCCCCTTGTCTTTATGAGTCTGGGGACTAGCTAAGAAAAGAAGCAAAACCAAAAAGACAAAAATGAGAAGGGAAGCTGAGGCAGGAAATAAAGCCTGGGAGAGCTCCAGATAAGCTACAATAAAGCTGTGTACAAAATTTCACTCTTTAGATGGGGAGGAAACGCACAGAATGTTTTTGACTGAAAAGCCAAAACAAAAAAAAACCCAACCTCTTCCCCCCCCCCCCCATCCCTCTGAAACCCCAGTACCCATCTACCCCACAGCATGTGTGGGTTGTGAAGCATTTGCCTGGTGGGCATGATAAAACATAAGGAGCTAGTGCTTTACTCAGTTCAAAGTATGGTTCAAACTGGGGTGTTATAGCAAACAGTAGAATGGTTATACAGCAAAGTGTCACAGGCATAGAGCAATTCAGGAGTCTTAACACAATAAAACATGGGCAGCCCTACAAACGCAAACCATTCTGTGATGTGAAACAACATCTTGTTGAAGACTGATTAGCATGCACATAGTAAGTGATGCCAGACAGTTTTTCTTACTTTTTCCAGCCTCTTAACAGTTTGAACATGGAGCCATCACAATAGAACACACTGTTCAGCCTCGAGAATTATCAGGAAAAGAGCTCTGACAATTTTGGTGCTTTTGCAGGTTTGGAAGCTTTCAGCAGGTTTGGAAGCTTTCAGTCTGTCACTTCAGCTGGTGAATAGTACAGCAGCAGCACAAGAGAGAAATCATTCTTGATGCTGGGAATCACAGTTATCTTTGGGGGCTTTTGAAGGAACTGTGTACTTTTTATGGTCCAGTTTATCTAGTTGAAGTCCTGTGGGTTTTTTTCTTTCCCAGCTGCTCTCTTGCCTTTAATATTTTGGGGAATGTTTATGCCAAGTATATGTCTCTGTTACTCTGGCCTACATATTCTAAGATACCATTTTCCCCACCCAAATGTTTCTTGCCCCTGCCTGTTACTTTCATAAAGTCTTTTCTGTGCAGTGCTTTCACCCTTGTTCTTAAGTGGATGTCACTGGAGTTTGCTGGACAGATAAGCCTGCAGACATAAGCAGACATAATAAGGACAGGAGTAGCCTTGTCTGGATTTGACCAACTGCTGGTAGACTGAAGTGCTCTGTGCTCACCCTTTGGCAGAGGGGAGACTCAAGCAACCTCTCTAAGAAGGAATTTTAGGGTAACTTTAAAGTTCTGGTAAATCTTTACCATGTGTAAGTAAACTGGCCCTTTCAGGGTGCATGATATAACCAAACATGAGTGATTTTCATGATTGGTAGAAAGCACGCCCCTGTCAAACTTGAGATCAGGCTTCAAAAATTATCCATTTTTTCATTGTAGAAAATCTAATTTTTTGCTTCTCCTTCCAACCAGGTAAGCATTTCTGTATGAAAAGCCAGATGCAGACATTCAGGAAGAGACATCTGGAGATCTAGACATCTTTTTTTTTTTCCTCTCTCTTTGTATCCTGTTTTGAATTCAAAGCACATTTTTGGAATGACTATGAAGACACTGCTTGCCAGCTGAGTGCTTTTAAAACTTACTGTTTGCAGAGCAGCTACTGCTGAGATCTCTTGTTATTTCAGTTGTACTGTTAATGTTATAATTTTAATAACTTGATACCTAAATAAACTGTGAGTTTAAATAATGCTATGTGAACTGAAGTGCAGATACTCAGACAGTAACATATTTCAGTGATTTCTGCACACATAAAAAAGGGACATACCTTTAACTGTAAGTCTCTTTGTTCTTCAGCGTGCTTTAGCTTGAGAAGTTTTGGATCAAGGATTAAGTGTAAAACTGCTACCCCAAGAGTCATCAGGATGCCAAGTTATGAATACCTAAGCTACTGATTAGTCTTTCTGTAGAGGTGGGATAGGTAGCCTACAGAGCAACATGCTGTAGACCAACAAGAATCAAAGCCTGAAAAAACCTTGAGACAATCATGTGAAGTTTGGAGTCACTTGTATGTCTTATGTGCTGTTTTGGGAAGAACTGCTATGGCTATCTGGGCAGGAGGGAGGCAGCAGAATATTGCTCCATTCACCAGCACAGGAGGACTGGCAGGTTGAAATACCTGTTCTACCAGTTGAACACCATTCCTGTATCCTAAAGCAGCCTGAGCTAATAGTAGGGCAGTTACATTCACGACCATAAGGAAAGGAGCAGTTTTATTCCACATTAGTAATCTCAGCTGGCTGAACCAATTCCATTCAGGACTTGTGGATACAACAAGCAGTCTGTTTGTTACAGTGATATCTTTACTGCCCCATCAAGTTACATCTGCTGTAGCTTTTGCTATTGTACAATTATTTATAACAAAGTAATTAAAGTTATGCTTTGTAAATGGTTTGGAACTAGAGCTGACGTTACATATGCTGAACCTACAGTGTTTTGAATTATGTTCTGTGTCTTACGTAAGAAAATAATTTTTCAGACTTGCTTTGAAAGATTTTCAAATTAATGCATTATATTTTAAAACATGTAAGGCACAAAATTTTGCAGTGCCACTTGACAAATCATATTTCAAAGAAACATATAAATGTCCACTTTGTTAAAAAGACAATTTTTGGGTTTTGTTTCCAGGTGATCACTGGAGGTCATTATGATGTTGACTGTCGGTTGGAAGATCCTGATGGCATTGTATTATACAAAGAGATGAAGAAACAATATGATAGCTTCACGTTTACTGCATCCAGAAATGGAACATACAAATTCTGCTTCAGCAATGAATTCTCTACTTTCACACACAAAACTGTGTACTTTGATTTCCAGGTTGGAGAAGATCCACCACTTTTTCCTAGTGAGAACAGAGTAACTGCACTTACCCAGGTAAAACACTGTTGTGTTTGACTGCAGCTGTTCGGTGGAGCTGTTAGCTGTTAGGTTTGGGTTTTTTTTCAAGTTCAACTGCATTAGATACCTATATTGCTTTTGAAAATCAGTGAATTAGAGCTTCTAAAGTAGTATGAATGACTACAAATAAGCTTTCATTCTGAAGTTAAGATTTATGGAACACATAAGTCTCATTTGTTCCATGAGAGCTGAGAAGGAATCACCAAGTGCTTACGAAAAATTAGGGTAGAAAGTTAAATTCTAGGCCAGTTTCTTTTCTTTTTTAAGGTAGCTTCCATTTGTTGCCATGGTTATGTGCTTCTTGAATTTAGATTTCACAAATATCAGTGCATCGGGGTTTTAGAGATTTCCAAACTTTGTAAAAAAATTGAGAATTGTTTTTACATTTAAAGTAGTAGAGTGTTTCGGGGGGGAGGACTTAGGCTGACCTCTCATGTAAATAACATTTTTAAAATCAAGATACAGCAAATTAAAATCAGCCATATTTAGCTGGCTTGTATATATTTGTTATTTATAAGACAGTATGTATTGACTATCTTAGACTTGTTCAGACACCTGTCTTGAAAATCATCAAGATGAAAAGATGTTTAGACACAGATACAAGCAACTGAAGGTGGTCCTATCAGGGTGTTAAACATTTCCTTTTATAATAGTTTGTGATGTTTCTTCAGGAAATACTAGTTTTTAGCCGTAAGACACAAAAAATAATTGTGACTAGAAATTAAGTATTTTGAAGATCTGTTGGTTAATCTCTTGGTGATCAAAACACAATGAGAATTACTGACTTTCAGTTATTGAAGATAAACTGAAAGTAGAATTGCATGTGAAAAACGATCTAGGGCTTGGAAAACTGGTAATACTTTTTTATGAAAAATAACAAGTTGGTTAAATTCCTAAGTATTTGTGTATGATTATGTGAAGCATAACTGAAAGGAACAGAACTGTCCTTTCTTTAACCACTTTTTGTGTACATGACTAAGGAGGGTCTCTTGCCAAAACATTTTGAATTCAGTAACATAGATCTTGGTGTGTCATATAACTCAACTGAGAATTACAACTATGCAATGAAGAATGTAATGAAACAGAGAAACATTTAATATACACTATGCATCTGAATGTTAAAACCAACTGCTAGCTTTCCTGGTAGGTGTGGAATTAACTGGGGGATCACTGACATTTCAGAAGTGTTTCTAATGTTCATTTTGAGCCCAAATATACATGAATATAAGGTTTGTGTAGTTCTAAGAGCCTATTGCTCATTGCTTTTCATTAGATCCACAGTTACGCACACTTCTGTATTTAAGTCTGTCGCATTCCTGAGTATAGAATTTGGTCAATGCAAGTTAAATTTTACTGCATTTACAGTATTTCAGTTTGACAATGGACTGAGTTAATCCCTAGCTTGCAAAGTTACATGAATCCTAATTTTAGAGAACAAACAAAAAAACTTCACAGAAAGAGCACTAGGAAGCTTCTTAATCCAGTGATGTGTTGTTTGTTTCTCTAGATGGAGTCTGCATGTGTTTCAATTCATGAAGCTTTGAAGTCTGTCATCGATTATCAGACTCACTTCCGCTTGAGGGAAGCGCAGGGCCGCAGCAGAGCTGAGGATTTAAACACGAGGGTGGCCTACTGGTCAATAGGGGAAGCAATCATTCTTCTTGTCGTTAGTATTGGGCAGGTATTTCTCCTCAAAAGCTTCTTCTCAGATAAAAGAACCACGACAACCCGTGTTGGATCATAACTGGTAGTGGTAATGCTTCGTGTCATTGTGTGCTACTTACCTGTTGAAGTTAACAGTTCTGCAGTTAATTATAGGTACAAAGGATGTGAATGTATGCAACATTTAAGTGAGTCTACTCCTCATCCCTTAAAAATCACAAAAGAGACCCAAAAAGATAATGAAAGGGGGACAGGATTTGAAATATTTTCTGCAACTTATGTGTGTTCTGATTCCTGTATTAAATACTTGGCAGTGACCACCCTCACTTTTACTGAGATTGATTTTACCAATAAGATGAGCCATCTGGGAGTATAACTCTTTAAAGTAGCCCAACAGTCTGGTATCTGATCTGAGAGACAACATACATGAAACTTTTATTTTAATCTTCAGGCTGATTGTATTGGATTACTCAAAAGCAAATGTGATGAACTGTAGTGCACTGGTTTGATGTGCTGTTAGAAAAAATAATCCAATGGTACCCCTTGCTTATTTGTAAATTTGTTGCAAGCTTGACATTACATCATGGTGCAAATTTTCCATCAGCCTGCTAACTCCATCTTCAAAACTTGCTAAATTCTGTACTTCAGTATGTTTGCTTAAACATGCATTCTTTTATATTAGAACAAGTTTTTTAAATTGTTTTACTAGATTATAAACTGAGGCTACTCAGGAAATCCACTTCCTGTATTCAAAAATCCAAATCTTCAAGTTTATTTAAAAACATGCAGTAAAATAGGGAATCTTTTGTCACTGAAACTGTGCAGTTTCTGTACTCATACATGCTGCTGCTGCTTTTTGGATTTTAATACCATATGTAGCTTGGTTTGTTAAGCAGCACAGCACCAGCACTGGACAAGGTTATGTTATGTATTAGGCACATATAAAGCTTTTTACTAAATTGTTTTCCTATTAAAAGGCCAATTTGATATTGATACTGCATTGCACAAGTGCTGTAAATTTTACTTTCCTGTGTGTGGTGCACTTTTACATGATGGCCTTGTATATCTAGCTGGCACTCTTTTAAATACTTCAGGTTATCTTTTTCGTAGTTATAGTTGCCTTGTTTCCACTGCTCATGTCTTTATTAGCTTATGTACTGTAGAGTCTTGTTTTATTTGGATGTGGAAGGTCATAGATGTATGTACATACAAGTAGCTTGAATTGAGCTGGTCATAACAAGGCTAAACTCCTTCAAATGGCTCTGGAGGATTAAGTAGAACCAACCAACTCTTAAGTGCACACAAACTAAATGAAGGGGAAAAAAATTGTCATACATTACTGGGTAAACCAAAAGATGCTTCTTAAACAAGTTTCCAGCAACCCAAGAAAGGATGCTAAACCCTTATCAATTGCCTGTATTGTTTCTAGCAAAAATGCGGAATTACATGTACAGGTGACACTTGAGCAGTCTGAAGAATTGATCTAAGATGACTTGAGTTTAATATCTTGTGATGGCTGAAAAAAATTAAACAAAAGGGCACCTACTCTCTGTTGTGAACTGAATGACTGCTCTTTTGGAAGTCAGAAAAAACTCAAACAGTTCAAAAAGTATTTAAAAGGCCACAGGGGTATTAAAAAGCTTAGTGTATGTAAAATGCAGGATTGTATGTAATGTCTGCCTGTCCTGTACTGAATTCTGAATACTGCAGTCTCATTTTGAGATGCAAGCTTCCCAGAAATAGTTAGGCTTACAAAGATCAAAAAACTAAAAAATCAGTGCTTTCTTCTCACGATACAAATCTGTGCCTGCAAGCACTATTCTTGGTTGTACCTATATGCTTTATTCTTGTGTTTCAGCAGCTGATATTCAGTACTTCTTGTGTTGCATTGCACACAATAATAAAGCAAGTGGTACAATTTGGGTGCAAGTGTGGCTGAAAATATGATTTGATTTTGATAGTGTCCCCTGTTACCTACTGGAGTTTGAGTATCACTTGTGTAGCTTTAATCACAACAAAATTATTTGTTCTAAGATTGAAACGTTGGGTTTTTTTCCACTGATTTACTCTGTGTTCTGTCAAAATTGGTAAATGGGGGTATAACAGATAATGGTTGGACATCATGTACACGTCTTTATTCTTTCATAATGTTTGAATGTGTGAAGTGGGACTGTTCAGCTCAAAATTACTCCCCCTGCAGAAGCTTAGTGGACTTGACTTTTGCATTGAAGTTAGTTAGGTATCTGAACCAATCCTCTTGTATCCTGCTGCAAAATATGCAGCAATAGCGTAAAAATGCCTTTATTTTTGTGTTACTAAAAACATGGCACAAATACATGTTTAAACATAGCTGTATATAGTTTTTAAAATAAGTGACTGAATAGGATATAGTAAAACACATGCTAACATGCAGCAGGTGGAGAAATGCATTGTGACGTTTAAAGCTGCACCTTTTTAATATATAAAAATAATAGTTTGGTTAATGGTGTGATGCACAAGTAAGCAGCCTGCGTTAAAGGGGATATAACTATTTCTTAATTGCTAAAGGCCCTGGGTTTCAGCTATTCCTTGGATGTTTTATGTTTACAGAACTTCTTTTCATGTCCTGTAATGTCATTTTGTCAGTTTGGAGGTAAAAAAAAAGAAGTTTAGTTTAAGACAAAAAGCAGACCCTGTGAATATTGTATGGGAAAATAAAAATTAATATATGAATGTGGTCTGGTTGTTTTGTTTGCATGTGGGAGTGGGGAGCATTAGTCTTAAAAAAAGCTTAAAAATTTGAGTATTCGGGTTGTATTTTAACACATTACAGCGAATCTGCCATGTGGCACTTGATCATTACTTCTGTTGCTTCTGTCGTACATAACAAAGTGTACCGGTTCACTGCTGTTCATAACTGGCTGTGCTTTCAGGTTACTGGGAGAACTCTGCTTTCAGCAACATAGCATGGTTACTGGCCTTTTGCTGAGCATGTTACCAGGGCAGGCAGTAATACTCAGAAATCTGTTCTTATTGGAGTGGAATTCAAAGTATTTGACTGCAGATGCCAGGACTGACTTGGGGCTTACTGCATGTTTTCATGTTAATTCTGGGGATACAAAGTTAATGCAGGGTGCACTACAAAGGTGCATCCAATTAGCGTTGTCTAATGAGACATACACTTGAAATGTAATGTAGCTGTAGTAACTAAATGTGTGATTGGAGATCCTTTATATTGTGTAGCTTCTTCCTGAATCTTACCACATACCAGTTAAGGTTTTAAAAACAGATAGACTAGGCATCATTGCTTTGCGTGGGCACCTTCCAGAATGGCTTTCTCTGCCTGTTTGTTTCTCCTGTGTCTATTGCTGTACATTCAGAAATTTTCTAGAATATTTACTGTACTTGAATTAAAAAAAGGTTTTGTCTAGAAGCATGGTTAAGTTCTCCTCTTTCAGTGTTGTGTTCTTGTGGTCAGCCATAGTTGTCTGGAGGCTTTTTAGGTGCTTTGGCACCCAGAATTTGTAAGTAGCTTAAGATGAGTTGTAGTCTAAAGCACTTTTCCACTGAAAGCTCATCATTTTACCAAAGAAATAAAATGAGGTAAGTACTGAAAGAAAGTTTTAAAGTCTGACCCTGCAATTCAGCAGCAGGTTCCTCAGGGGCTCCCATTGGCCAACTCCCTGAACAGCTGGAATTTTACTTTCCTAAAATTCAGGGTCCTGACTGTACTCTTCGCATGTCTCTCAGGACTTCAAACTCCACCAGTGGATGATCACTGTGCTGCTTCCAATCTTGCGCCTCTGAGCAGCGCAGTTGCATTAGAGACCATCAGGTCCAGTATTGCATTCCCCTGGCAGGGCTATTACCTGGCTTAAGAATTTACCCTCAATGCACTACAGGAGTGGTCTGTCTACAGCTTACCATGCTACTTTTCCAGCAGATGTTGGGGTGGCTGAAGTCCCTCAGCAGGATTAGAATGGTGGCAATGCCTCCTGCAGCTGCAGTAAGAAGGCTTCATCAGTAGGCTCCCCTTGTTTGGGAGGCCTGTAGTAAACACCACAGTTGCCTTGGTTGCTAATTCTTCCTCATAAGCTTTCAAACTGCCTGTAGCTATTCAGAGACAGCTCTTCACAGTCTATTAATCACTGAGGCTTGGACACCCAGATGGGAGTATCAGATGAAAAAGGAAACAGACGCATCTGAACAGGTATTTCATTTCCACATGGCAATGTGGAAGTGTAGAAAACCACCTCTTTTCATGTGGTTTTGAAGCAAGAAAGGTTATTTTTTCCCATGTTGCAGACAAGGCAGTGTTCCATGGAAGAGCAAATCCTTCTGCCTCGAGTTCCTCAGTGAGTTTGGGGAAGGAATTTCCATGAGAAGAACAGCCACATCTGGCTCTGGAATGAATCCCTGCTAACCCTTGTTTCATTAAATGCAGTGACAGAACTGAGATATTCACTAATTCAAAGCAAAGGGCTGATTTGCAGCATTTCACAGGGTGGGTTTTACTGATTCCTGTGTAATCAGGTTCATAAATAGAGTTGTTTAAATGAGGCAAAGACATATTAAGCATTTCTATTAACAGTTCTACAGATACTTAAAATAACACTGGCTTTCCACCCAACTTCAACTTTTCTTCCTGTAGTCCTTAGTGGGGATGCATGGTGACAGATTTTAGCAGCCTAGAATTCAAACCTGGACAATAAGAAATTCACTTGCCAGGTGCTTCACAGCTTTGCAGTCCAAATTACTCCTTTATTCCACTCAGCTGTCATGAGCTCTTGTAGAACCTTCTTGTAATAATAAAGATTTAATGCACTTTCACATCACCTTTCATCAATCTGCATTAATGAAGGACACTGTATTTACATCTGTCTTAGTGATGAGGAAAGTGAAGAAAGGAAAAATTAAATCATTTACTCTCAGAAAAGCAGCAGTAGCTCAGTGAGAAAGAGGACTTCTAGCTTTCATTCAGTGCACTGCTCCTCATTGTACTCAGATTCCCAGAGGAATGAGGAATTATGTTAAAGACTTTGTAGACAAAGTTTACACAAGTTCAAAAGGCAAGTGAACAACTACATGGAGAAAAAGTTCTACCAGCCTTGTATTCTTTCAATACAAAGAAGTATTTTTTTGCTTAGGAAAGCTCTCAGCCACAGAGGATGGCAGGCTTGGAGGGGTGTCCCCCTGAAAATGTGAATTCATCTTTACAGGATTTTCCTGGGAATCGGTACCATCGCCTTTTGTTTTGAGAATTGTGTTGCCATTCCCATGCTACTTTACAGTCTCTTTGAGCAAGCGTGTTCATCTGTTCTCAACATTGCAGCAAGTTTTTACACGCTGTCTTTCCCCACTTCACAGACACGGCCATGCAGAGACACATATACTCAGTTGTAAAATCATTCAAGAAATGGCTGTGTATGCCTTCCTTACAAAAAGGATGAAACTTACCTGCTGGTAAGAGTACAAGTGGACTTTGGGGAGACAATGTTATCTGAGGGTGTGAATACGTGTGAATACGTGAACACAGGTTGAACATTTCCATCAGCACACAAGCTAACAGGAGCAACTGTACACTGGCTCCAGAGCAGTGTTTCTTTGCAGTACTAGAAT